TATGTCCCGTACTCGAAGCCTGACGAAGGAGGGACTGAACCCTGTAGGTTGATGCCCGGCCCGCAGTTGCCTCTCCATCACCTCAATATTGACATAGCTGGCTGGCCCAGTGATCTGAGTCAGCTGTGAGCTCCGCTGACTCAACAGCCACCGTCATGTACCCGCTGTGGAGTCAGCTGTTTTCGGCGACCCCAGTCAGGGACGGCAGGACCTCCACAGAAACACTGACAGCTGAGCCGGCAGGGTGTCCTCGACCCTCACCGGACAGCTGAGCCGGCAGGGTGTCCTCAACCCTCACCGGACAGCCTGGAGGACACCCAACGGCGTAGATCGGACACCGGGGAGGGGGGAGGGGGCAGAATCAGCAACGCTGGTAAACAGGATAAATATTGAAATAGTTGCTTATACCATCATGTTACAAATCATCTTAATAACGATCATGCCTCATAAAGCATGGATTTTTACGAAAACTGTTTGTCACAAGAAAACATGTTGACATACACAGTGGGTACATAAAATCTCTCCTCAGCGCCATACCCCCCCCCCCCTCCCTAGTTCACAAAGCCTGACCAATGAGGAGTCGATTAGTTCCGAGCCGGCACACCGACTGAGTAGTGAGTGCCGTCCACCACAGGCCCCCGTCTCCCCTCCACGCCGTCCGCTGTCGACCGTGCCAAACCGCCCTCAGGTCAGCACACTTCCTGTGACCCGTCCCATTAGACCCACGGCGCTGGAACCACCGAGGAAGCGGGGGGAGACAGGACCCAGGGCGCGTCCATGGCACCTTCCGGCGATTACAGAGCCAATGTGCGAAAACGTCATGGGTAGTGACGCTCGAACGCACAGGTGAACACATCCCGACGCCGTCTCACGGCAGGTAACAAGTCGCGTGGTGGCTCAGGGGAGGCGCAGTGGAGGATGTGGCCTCTCACAGAACCGTCGCCACAGAGCTGGATGGCCACGGAGCCGTGGGAGTGGGATACGACGGACGTCCTGTCGGCTGTCACTGCTGGTGGCGACTGTGGGGATATTTGGGGCCGGCGAATGGCCGGATATGGCGGCGAACGCAGGGCCACGAGCAGTGGTTTGAGAGTTTGAGTTGTAACGATCTCAACCGCCGCACCCGCCGGTAAAATTTGAAGGCATGTGAATTGTGAAGACGGAGTGACGAAAGATCGTTTAGGAAACATCCTACAACGTTCCCATGATGTTAAACAATGGAAAAAAGCTTCAAAGCATAAACCTAAAACCGATTCCATCCGGTAGAGAACATCATTCGCCAATTCGTGACAAAACAGGTCCAGTAACAGCACCAAGGCACGGGCCGGTCACGGGCTCGCTCCAATCACCACGCCCGTCGGCGACGATGACAAACGATTGTCGCCAAATCACGATCCCATTGACCATCAGCGGCCGAGCCCCGGCTCTACCGGAAACGGCTCGCCTCGCCTCCGCCTCTTATCGTCACCGAATAGCGGCGCGACGAGCGCTCCTCGAAGACGTCTCCGCTCGCGGCGCCGCCGGCCACCGGACAGGAAGCACACCGATCGGCGGCTCGGGCGCGGTCCAGTGCGCCGGCACAATGTCCACAGCTGTGTCAGTGCCGGCGGCGGTGCTGTCTGCGGGCCCACGGCCGGCGGGCAGCGCGGCGCGGCGGTCAGCCGAGCGGGGTATTTAAACCGGCACCGCGGTGGACAGCGGAAACGGCGCATTACGCGGCGCGGCGGCGACGATGATGGCGCAAGCTGGTTGCCGCTGGCGACAGTGAAATATGGGGTGTGCGGCGCGACGGCGGCAGCGCGGCACGGGGGTGAATGTGGAGCAATACTCGGCGCGGGTGGCGATTAGAGTGGACAGCGACCGCTAGTTAGAGGCCCCAGGCGGGGGAAGGCGGGGGAGTCGAGAAGTGACATGACGTCATGCCACCAGGCAGTGCTAGATGGGCAATGATTTCTCAGTGACGAGCGTGATAATGGGCGACATATCCAGCAAATCGATTGATGGATGTAATTGTAAGGAGTTGGCACTCCCTCCATCCAAAGTAGCTAATTTAATCGTTAAGATTTAATTGGCCAGTGAGATAAAAAACGACTTCCTGTCAGTCATATACCGACCCCCCCCCCCCCAAAAAAAAAAAAAACAGGCAGAATACAGAACACGAAGATCAAGCTAATTGAGAGCACTGACTGGTTCGAACGTTGCCAAGTCGCCGAAACGACACGGTAGAAAAATAACACCAAACATAAGCCCCCCTTGCAACACAATGTGACACCAAGCACATCCGTCTATCGAAGGTGACTTTAGGGCCTGTCACGTGTTTAGCTGACCCGTACTGATAACGTCAGTGAATAGGCTGATGACCGGAGCGGTGCAGGTCACCAGAGGTCGGCCCGGTTCCATGTGGACGCACCCAAAGTCCGAACAACAGGACTACATTGTTGTCACGCCCACAACAGGGGACGCTGGGGTCCCGAGTAGTGTGCCGCTGACGACGTGGTTATGAGTTATAAGTATAGCCACAAGGCACAACCATTGTCGGGTGATTGGAGGGCATGGAGCTGGTAGAAGCAATATCAAAGATGTGCTTGCATGTATCACATCTTGAGTCCACTCGCTACTCAATAATATTTGCATACCAACAGGATACCAAAGAGGGACGAAAACCAACGAGAGGTCAGACTGATGTCCCGAAGGATGGCAATGATTTTTTTAACAAACAAAAAAAAATCGCATGTAAAGCACGTTTCCAGCCTAAATCACAATTCACATGGGAATCGATCCATGCGAAAGGACATCACCTCGACGTTGACATTTGATACAGCTACCTCCCCCAATGTGACTTCTTTCACGCACGGTGCTATTAGTGGTCGAAGGACGGTGAACATCGCTTCCACAATCCACATTATGGCTAAATTTCTGTTTGGGAAACCCCTGCTCCGAGTGAGACCCTGTGCCATTTCCCATAGCCCCCCCGAACCGGCGTGACCGCTCGGTAGCCGAAGACAGTCGCTCAGTGTCCCGCGCGGTCACCGGAGCCCGGCTCGTGGCCCGATGTGGCCGAATTCGATAACCTCGGCGAATCCCGTGAGACCGAACGATAACCTTGGATCACGGCGACCGCCAGGCGCTGACATGGGTCGGAGACGCGACCGGAACGCTTAATTTGGCACCACGCCGATTAGGGACCGAGGCTACACGAGCGGCCATTATCAGTCTAATTAAGACAAATCAAATCTCAGCAAACCGCCCTTCCCGCAGCACTTATGTCAGAGCCGCGACCCAGCTGTTCCCGCACAAGGCTGAGTCGCCGCTGCTGGTGGATAATTTCAGAATGCAACCTTCCGTAAAATTACGGGATAAAAACGCCCGTGGGAACGGGGACCCGAGTGGGCGGCGTGGCCTTCTGCCTGCTGTGAGCGCAGCGGCCGCGCGACCCGGCGAGGCTGGGACAAACGACGGAGGCCAGGATGTGGTGAGTTTGTTCGGTCGGGGACGATACGCTTCACCAATCGGCAAACTGTGGGAGGAGTCTGTAAGAAGACCGCTGAGTGAAGCTTTGGACAGGTGGACCAACGGCTGCATGAGGACAGGACAATCACGGTCGCCTTCAGGAATTGATCTTGAACACGACGCCTCAGTCAGTTTATGGAAAAAAGCGAACACCCGACCATCAATTTCGACGGCTACCTTTCCTTTCAGACTTCAGAGGCAACCGGCTTTCCTTTCCTTCCCGGCAGGTTTGCGAGCTGACAGGTGCTGTCGTGATCAGAGGAGTGCAATTCCGAACACGGCAGCATTCATGTAGGGGAAGGTGGGGTAAGACGGCCCAGCGGGGCAAGACGGACCACCAGCCCTCCCGGCTGAACTGCTGCTGGTATCTACTGCTTTATGCACTCACTATGTTTGTTTTCCTTCGTAACAATGGCCACCTTGAGCTCATGCTGCTAGGATGCGTAGCTTTTGAGTTATTGAGAAAAATGTAGTTTTCCGTCAAACCGATCTAATATAAGAGGTCTACGGGTGATTCAATTACGGCGCCTTTCTTGCATGATTAGTTTCTATTTTGCACTTAACTGTGAAGAACAAAGTTATAAACTTAGTTATAGTCACACTTTAGGAAAGGCAAGGTTTTGCAATGTTGGGCTATTTGACATATACGTCATGATAATGACAGAATTTAGATTTGGGGCAAGACGGACCACTGTGGTCCATCTTACCCTGTGGTGGTCCATTGTACCCTGCATATGGAAAGTTCTTTTCCAAAACATTGACACAAGTTTAATTTTTCAGGAAGGAGTCTTTGTTGCATGTGAGCCATGCATGCAAGTGCTCAGTTAGCATGCATTCATGCCAAACGACAATCAACACACATGTTCCTAGCTTTTAGCTGCACTTCCATCACACATGAGTAAAGAATAAAGGCTCATTTTGTTATTTTACCATTCTGGTTACTTTTTCTTACAAGAGTACAGAGCAGAAGTGTAACGCATATGAACGGATAGCAGGCACTGCTGGGTGGTCCGTCTTACCCCACGTTTTTTCTTGTCTGAGTTTTTGACATGTCCCTCTTTAAGAGCATCCACCACCTAGATGTCTTTAATTTGAAATTTAGTCTTTACACATATCAACAGAGGAAGGATTGAGCATTCCGAAGACTATAAATAATATGAATTACGAGAGCAGTGTAGCAAGATATGCGGCCTCAAACCTTAGCTGGTCCGTCTTACCCCACCTTCCCCTACCCGAAGAACAGCAGATAGGAAGACATTAGTAGTGATAGGCAAAGCCATGGTTTGTTTTGTTTGAAATAAGGATGATCAGACACGCCATACATATGTGGTTGTTAATGTCTCAATCGTCTACCTCACATACTGCAATCACGTATTATTCGACAGGGAAAGTGAATGCAGTACCTATATCAGCTGAAAAGGTTGACAAAGTTACAGACCGCGTTAGATAGAGCTCGTTTCGCACACCTTGTGCTCGTAAAGTACAATCGATTAATTCTATTTGATCTTTTATTACACCCAACAGGTAGCACACCACGATACAAAGCGGTCGACAAATCATTAGCTATGACACTCATATGCCACATGGAAGTCTGAAACAGCATCAATTGGAAATGCCATCGGAGCCACAAATGAAATAGGCAACATGGCTATGCAAAACACACTTTGTGCGAAGATACATCGTTCAGCTCAAGATTGGACTAGCTTTTAATCGAGGATGGATGCTTCGGACCATGAAACATAACCTTTCGTTCTAAGCACACACAAATGACAAAACATCGTCTGTATGCATTGTATCAGTCATTCTACAACTGCATACCACAACCTTGGGCAAATGCTTCCTCACGCTCGTAGCCGTGCAAACCAGATAAAAGATCACTGTCTTCATGCCACTGTTTGCTTAGAGACATTCTCGAGGCATTGAAGAATGACCCATAACGTCAGTGCAACTAGCGATTACAGATGACAAGTTGAGCCAGCGAGAGGTATCAGTGGGGTCTTCGATGCGTAGCGTATCTACGATCTTAGAGATGTTTCGATCTTGTGAGACATCCTTGCTAGTCAGCTGATTGCTGCAGCTTCTTACTGAGAAGTCGCACTTGGTAAAGAATGACATCTCGAGCAACCGAAACGCCGTAATTGACTGACTCTTTGCTGGTTTTAGTTGCTGAAAACCAAAACAGTCATTTCGGCGCCTTCTTCACCCCTCTGTTTTTGGCAAGTAGTACTTACCGAAAACCACTGTATAACTATGCCTCAGTCTGCCTTGGTGGACTTGACCTTGGCGGCCGCTGATTGGCTGACGTCTGCAGGCAACTGTGACGTGGCAGTGTTTGATTGGTGCGCACCTCGTCGCCACCACATCAAGCGACCAAGGTTAGATTTTATTCGGGCAACGATGCCAGGTTTCTCCTCGCTGACTGGAACCAACAAAAGTCTGAAACAGATAAAACAGCGTCAGATATAACACCGGGAAAGTTGACAGCTTTTAAGTTGTGTGACTGTGGAAGCAAGGTTGTAATGGTAGTATGCTAACACAGAAAATGGTCTCTCGAAGTCGCCGGTATTAGTACGTTACGTACCGTTTAGTGCAGATGTTGTGCAGCGGCCCGAATGCCAGCGCCACCACCGTGCAGACCAGGCAGATGACGTTATAGGGCATTGAGAAGTCGGGCGTGGGCAGAGTGACCAGCTGGTTCTCGGCAGAGAGACGGACAAACACGCGGCCTCCCTCCACTGGCGGACTGTGGAAGTACAGAGGAGGTGTCAAAAAAGGGGTACGACCCGGTTCCGCTCTACCGAGTCGTATGTACTGAGGAGATTGTGGAGGGGATTGGGAACAAAAGCAAGCAAACATCCAATTTTGCCCCATCGGCCATCTTTTCAATCTTTTTGTTGTCTACTCGTATTTCTTTATAAGATGCAGGCACGAACTAATTTATGCTCACCATAACGTTCACATTTAAACTCAATGCGCCCTTTCCACTCTCTCTACATCACCGCCCAAGCCCTACACAAAAGCCTCTCCCTCCCCGTACTGACCTTCTGATGGGGTGTCGTGTGCAGTTCTGCGCCGGCAGCAGGGCGCTCACCACCGCTCCGGGCAGGTAGAAGCCGTGGTTGGCGTCCGGCGGGTACTCGTGCCACTTCAGGAACGCCCTCTCGGCCTGAACGCTGACGGTGGCTACCCGTCCGGCGGGTATACGGACGCCCAGCTCCAGCGTGTAGGGCCGCTGCCGGTCCCGGCCCGGCACCAGACGCTGGTACACTGCGACAGGGAGAGACAGATGGGGTTACAAGAGATACGGCGAGGGAGGGCGGCTTATGGCAGCGTGAGCTGGAGGGATAATCAATGCTTTAAATTACTTTTCTCACAATAACTGCTAATCTTTGTAAAGTGGAAAAATAATCTTAAAACGATAAACAACAGTACCATGTAATTAACATTATCGTCATTCCTGTATAATAGCCTACGAGTCACAAAAGCTTCAAAAATGCAAAAGCACATTATATTCTCCCCACTTCAGTCCCACTCCCCACCCACTGACCTGACTTTATAACCTGTCCAATGTCCATCCACCGTGACCTACAGTGTGTGCACGTACCCCCACCCCTACCCCACCAGCTTGATTGTACCGACCGCTCCCCGCCCCTACCCCACCTACTGACCTGGCTTGATGACCTGTCCATCCACCGTGACCTGCAGTGTGTGCAGGTAGAGCCGGATGTACCAGGGCACCACCTGAAGAACCGACACGTCCAGCGGCGACAGCCGGTCGGCATTCCGCAACTGCAGGCTCAGACCGACCGAGTACTGACCCGAGCCTGACGGGGAAAACGGAGGGAGCTGGGTGAGACACGGTGAAACATTGACAGAGCGAGAACGCCAAGTGACAACGAAATACCACTTTGTATCAATGTGAACTACAATCTGATGGTAAATGAACTTGTGTAACGTATACACAGTCCACCCACCGGTCTGGTACTGTGTGACGGTCAGTGGCAGGCTCGGAGTCCAGCCGTGGCGGTGTGAAATGACCTCTATGTTACAGTGTATACTGTATACAGTCCACCCACCGCGCGGTCTGATACTGTGTGACGGTCAGCGGAAGACTCCGAGTCCAGCCGTGCCGGTGTGAAATGGCCTCTATGTTACAGTGTTACAGTCCACCCACCGGTCTGATACTGTGTGATCGTCAGCGGAAGACTCGGGGTCCAGCCGTGTCGGTGTGAAATGTGACTATGTGACGGTGCTACTATCCACCCACCGGTCTGATACTGTGTGACCGTCAGCGGCAGGCTCGGAGTCCAGCCGTGCCGGTGTGAAATGGCCTCTACGTTACAGTGTATACTGTACACAATCCACCCACCGGTCTGATACTGCGTGCGTCAGCGGCAGACTCGGAGTCCAGCCATGATGGTGTGAAATGACCTCTAGGCTCTATGTTACAGTGTACAGTCCACCCACCGGTCTGATACTGTGTGACGGTCAGCGGGAGACTCGGGGTCCAGCCGTGTCGGTGCGGCCGGCTGTAGGCGGCGCGCAGGTTCACCCCGCCGCCGCCAGATGTCAGGTTGGTCACGCTGTAGGCGGCGTAGGTCGCCGTGTGCCCAGCCACCATCGAGGTGACCTCGGAGTGGGGTGCCGGACTCAGCACGAACGGATGGCTCTGCGGGAGGTGGCACGAGAGTACGTCAGTCAGTGCGATGGGGAGGCGGACCAAGAGAGCGAGCGGTGAAGATAGACACACACGCCAGGAGCTAAACCTCCCGGAGAGTAAGAATGTGCGTCCACCATGCCCACAATGTCACACACGCCTCGTCATTGAATGCATCATTATACATATAACAAGTTAAGCGTAGTTAAGTTGAAAACATACAGTAAATCCCATTCAAGCCGCCGGCTCCGACCCAACCACTGCAGACCGGCCTCCCGTCCACATACCCCGTTCGCCGCCGTATCCACAAAGATATCGCTGCGTTCGGCCACGGCACAGGCGTCATAGAGACCCCGTCCGAAGAGGCTCTTCATGGACCAGTCCTGCCGCGGCCCGTCCCGTCTCGGGGTCGTTACCGGCTCGTGAACCAGCGTCACCGACTGGGTGATCTCATAACGGAGGCGGCTGCACGACGTGTCCTGGCGAAAAGAGGAATTTTGGTTGTGATATGCCCGGTGACTTATGGTACAGTGATTGCTACTGCTGCGAGACAAAATTAGCCAGTTGTGGGTATGTCACTAGATTTTATCGAGCTTGTGCGCTAGCTCATCTCTACGAAGGTTGACTATTGACCGATAGGAGCCATAATTTTAACCATATCCACCAAGAGTGTATTATTATAACGATCACCGGTCGTAGAAACTGGTCCTTACGGCGCAGACGGGTCGGAAGTCGACGCTGAGCGAGTGGTAGCTGGTGCTGTACAGGTGGGTCGGGTTCAGCAGCGTCGACAGACCGCTCTGTAGAAGACAGTAGTGTCAATGGGTGAGTTTATCCCTGATTATACCAAATACGGATTAACTCGGGTCAATACATAACAGATGTCAAATACATTTTACAGTTCTGGTCGTCACTGCTTATGTAGCCAGCGTAGATCTATGGTCAGATTGTGTGGCTCTTCCACTTCCGGTGGCACCATCTGCAGGCTACAGTGACCCACTCCGCCCTCTCAGACATAGCCATGTCGGTGCCTCGAGCCTGTTCCCGTGATAACTCGCGCCATCTGGCATCTACACCATTACAGCTGAGCCACCCCTCTCCCCGCGCTCGCGCCCGTGTCCGTTCCCGTCGGTGACTCACCGCCGCGCCGCACGGCAGCAGTTTCTGCCACGGGGTGAGGTTCTCTGTGCAGGTGGCCTCACGTGGCAGACTGGCCACGCGCAACAAACGGCTCTCCAGCTCAGACGGGTCGGACACCACGCCTGAAGGTGGTAACGACGGGAAAAGCGATCAGAAATCAGCGCAGTGGATCGTCAGAGGCTCGCGAAATCGCAGCGCGGAGTGTCTCGGGCGATTTTTTTTTAGATGTTTCTGTACAACGACCGACGCTTCCAACAATTATTTTGTAATGGTTGGCATATGATGCGCAAGTCCGTTCAACTGAACGCATAGGTCAATTAAAATTTACCGAATGGTGAACCGTATAAAAACATAGACTAACTTTTGATATTTACCTGCTGGTCGGAAGGCAAACTCGGGCGATGTGGTGACGGTACGGTCCATGAAGTTCAGAGAGGCACAAAACAGGCCAGAGAGGGCATTCACCAGGCTGCTCCAGGATTCATCGACACTGACGAAACAGGGAAAAGGGGTTTAGCAAATAGCATCACTTCACCTTGATCAACAGTGGGCTATTATAAGTCAATGACAAGAAATGACTGTAGGCACATAAGGACTGGAATGCAAACATATGAGTTATCTACAAACGAAAAACAATAACATCAGAAGCTGTATGCATGATGATGATGATCTAGGCAAACCGGAACCACTCCAACTCCACCGGAGCTGCTCCCGCGCTCACCTGGGAGTGTCCGGGTCGAACCAGACCCAGAGCTGGGCGCCAGTACCCGCCTGTCGGGCCGGGTAGCCCCAGATGTCATGTCGCCAGAAGCCCTGTGTAAGCGACAGGTGCAGCTCCTGTACATGGTGGTGCGAGATCACCTCCGCCAGATGGCGAGGCACCAGGTGGAAGTGGGCGCCTGGAATCGACGGAGGCCATGGAAATTATCCAAGTTTGGAGATGGGAAAACACTTGATAGATATTGCATGAGGATGTTTTTATCACCAATGGCAGACACAGAGGGTTATAAATTAAAAGTGTTTCATGCGATGGAAGTAAACACTTGGAAACTTACACAAAGTAAAGCCTGGTATAATTTTACATATTTTTTATTACCTTAATGTCTCTTTCAGAATTCAGATGCCATTTGGCACAAAGGCCAAAGCATTCAATAATTGCTGGATTTTCGCCTAGGCATGCCATGGCACAGGTGGGCAGGTATATCACCTATGAGCTGGAAAAATGTTAGTTATTGCATGATCTGCATTCTGCAGCATAAGTTTTCAACATATACACTTTCATCTGTAAGTTCAGGGAGCCCATGGCGCTGCTGCTGTGAGCCAGGGTATATTGAGTGGCTGTGAGCTGCTGATCCATCTTTTACACTGAGCGGGTAAAAGAACACACACCTATATGAGCGGTGGTCAATATGTATAAAAAATATAAATGAATAAGCAAATAGAAATATAGGTAGATTGTGAACAAAATAACAATTTTGATTAGGCAAAAAGCACCATGAATCAAGTGCTTAAGCACTTCTGTGCCAATTGCATGCTCATCTTGTTCTTATTTCCTGTCGCCATGCCGTCCTCTGGTCTGTAGTTGTGTACAGCGACACTAGATTTGGCTAACATTAACCAGGTTGTTTAACTAATAAGTTTCAATATATTCCTTGCACAAACACCTAGAAACTGGAAATTTACCTATAGCTCCCCCCAAAAATGCAATCAAACCGTTCCAAACCAAACTTCGACATTGACGACGCAGCCACAACAGCCAAACATACCTGAAATGTTGTCAGTACCGATGACAAAGTCAAATTTTGAGATAACATGACCGCTGTTCAATGGTTTGATGAGGAGGGATTCATTAAACTGATCCGAGCCTAAGCTGTTGGCGAATAAAAATAACAGAACGAGCCAGCGACGAAAGCCGCTCCCGCCGCAGGGCGCCGCCATCTTTGTTTACAAAACATGTATCAAGTTTGTTTTAAAATAATTCAGATTCTTCATCTCGTTGCTGTAGCATCACTTTTCGTCAGATACAAAGTTTATCAATTAAACTTTTTCTGATTTTTTTTTTTTGTTAAAGGGACCCTCCCACCTTAACATTAGATTTGAGTTGAGATAGCCAAAATGGGGTCCCTGGCTCACAATTACCGGTTTCGGCACTCACAACATCGAGAAATGGAAATATTGAATTTCAAAATTGCAGCATTTTGATTCAGAGGGGCTAATGTATAGGAATACCCTCTGAATGTGTGACGTCATCGTAGATATCTACCGATTTTTAAATGTTTGACTAAAACGTTTTGTAGCACGCGGTGGTATAGGCTGCTTTGCGCGCAACAAATGCCGCACTTTCAAATTAAGTCGCTAGGAACAGCGGAGATCCCAAAAAGTAAACAAAAGTAAAAGTCTAATATCTTGAAAACCGGTGAATATTTTTCGATGAAATTTGGTAGATATTCGTTTTTGCTCTTTCTGAACCGAGCGACATCACTTTCATGCCAATTCATTAACTTTTTTGAAGGTGGGAGGGTCCCTTTAATAATCAGCATTTTTACGATCCATGGAAATTACGATAGTTTTATGCTAGATAAGTCCGCGACAAGCCAAGGAGGTGGAACGTGACCGTGAGGTCCAGTCCAATGCTTGATGAAATCATGAAATTCTACGCACTGAAACTAGGCTAGGATTTGAAACTGATTCACTGGAAAAACTGACGAAGAAATGCTTCAAATTGGTTGAAATCGGATGGGCTGCCTTTATGAATCGGTGCCTTCCGGTGCCCTCCGTGATCAATATGTAACAGGGCCTCGGCCAAGGCTATATAAACCAGGTAGAACGCTCCGGGAAAAAAGTTGGAAACAATAAATTAGTTGCGGCATTCCCTGATGACGCGAATGTGGGTCAGCGGCCGGCGGCCGGCGGCCGCTAACACTCTATGAGGATGAATGCACGGAACTTTTGCTTGTTGGAGATTGCGCAAGGCAGTTAAATGTTAATGTTAGGATATGTTTCGAAAGTAAATTGAACGACGCTTCGAACGCCGTCAATGAATTTGCGATACGACGACTATTTGTTTAGTTAGAGCCGGCGAACTTTTACCTTCCGACCGCGCTGGGAGGCGATATGGTGCCACACTGACTGTTTTTACGACAGCTCAAAATTCTTTTGAGCTAAAGAGCTGAAATTTGACATGTCCAATCTTTTGATCAAGCTGGATCTTCTGGTACAAGTCGCATATTTAAGGTACGTAAGATTGTTGAGCTAAGTTGTCGCTCGTGAGCCTCTACATAGTCCAAAAACAACGCAATTTCTAAGCACTCAGTGCCAAGAAATCCTTCACAGAAAGATGATACTTGGCGGAAAGAATGGCTGTCGGTTTCTTACCGTTCGTATGTATCGTGTTTTCACAAGAGTTTAGTAAGGTCAGGTCCCTCACGTCACCTCCCCTCATAACTCAATAGGACTAGGTGTACTATCATAGCAGCGTTTATCAATCGCCGGAAATCTTAGCCAATCCCACTGGACACTGGATCCATACCCACATGGGGCCCTCCTGACTGGCCACTCCCTCTGAAATCCACAATAACATTGGGCTGCGGCCATGGTTATGTATTAATGCTTTTCACTAACAGAAATACAACAACTTCAACCAGCACAATGCACGCCGCCACAACAGTCCGACCAACGTCCCTGATATCGACTAGCACTCGGCCGGATGCACATATGCGGAGCCAATTAGTCCGAATGTGACCTGCAGCTTACAATTGCTGTGTCGCATGGCGCGTGGCACAGGACGATTCCTAGCAGCTGTCGGCTGGAGTGGAGAAACAGCACGTTGCGACACACCGCGCCGGCGAGAGCTCAGCAGGGCTGGTTGGAGGCTGGAGACGGAGGTAAGGGCGGACACAGGCACAGACATTGCAGGACAAATAACAGGATGTCAGTTAGGGATATAATTCAAGACGAATGATTCAAGACGGACTGAAATAATGCACATTTTGCTCACTTGGATACCAACTTCAAACTTGACGTTTATAGCACCACGGAAACAATGGCCACACAGGAAAAAATCAAAAGATGAGGTGTTTTTAACTCAAAGTAAATACAACTCAAAGTAAATACAGGTTGCATATGATGGAACAGCCCGAAGTGCAGACAAGCACATATTTTTGGTAATAGCTATCAGCTGTCCTACTCCTCTTCTCCCTTCATCAACTACTGGACACATCTGAGGAAGCACCAATGTCCATAACAAAAGCTTGCAAAGTAGTTTTATGAAGTCAAGGGAAATACCTATGCCTACATCATGCATGTAAACTCAAAATTACACATGCATGACAAAGAAAGCTTATGTAACGAGAAGAGTTGGCAAAAGCATTTCATAGTTAAAATTATTCAAAACTGCACACAGGGCAAACATAAAAAGCAGCAAGTGTGCTGTTCTGTTATGCTAAGAAATAGTCCAAAACAAAATACATCTTTTCATGTTTGAACTGGTTGTTCTTCTATGCCACTTCATCCATATCTTGATTACAGATGGGCTGTTGCTGCAGGCTGATGAAGTGACACTTGATTGCCTTTGTGCGAGTTTCAGTTGCAGCCTCCTGGGTACTGCACTGGAAAGCAGATTGAATTGAATGCCTCTGAAAGATAGGAATACAGGCAAAGTTAGCTGTAGTAGTGTCAATGATAATAGACATGACATTTTTGTCCTTTGACATACATGAAGTACAAAAAGGTACAAAATAAATTGGTTGGTTTGTTTCAAGACACGCGCACTGCACAAAGCCGCGCAGACATTACACAGGGATATGAAATTGGTACACATAAAACTTGATGATTAAAAAGGTCAAAACTTGCAATAATAATTGAAGTAAAAGTTACACATTATGCCATTTTATTAGAGCAAGTGGGGTACAACAACAATGCTGATGTCAAACCCACATCTGCAACCCGTACTGCAGTTTCAATCACCTTACAAGCACACCTTCTGGCAGTTTGATAGGCAGAATGGTCATTACTACTTTCTCCTCATATTCAACACATATTCCCTTTATACAGATATAGTTTAGACCTGGTTATGGCAAGCATTTTCGAGAAAAGATATGATCAAAGTCCAAGACAAAGGTCGAGAGAAACAACACCAACATAAAACACCGACTATGTAGCACTAATACTGTCAAATTCATAAAAATATATACATGAGTCGATCAGAAATTCACTGTAGATTTCGAAAATGGTGTCAAATGCCACTCAAATACCTCCATTCGCATGTACGAAGCAATAAAACACTGACCTTCAATTCCGCGTGCCATTCTCCATAGGCCACTGTGTATTAAATAACGCGTTCACTGATAGCAAAAAATGAGACCCACATATGACGCGTTTGCTACCAGCCAATCAGCGCTCGAGATACCGAACGCTGATTGGTGGAGAGGGCCGTCGTTAGCAGTCCATTACACGTTGTTTTTCTTGAACATGAGCGTGAGCGCTGATGCTGCTCACGGGCTGTTGCCATTTTTCGTAATGCTGAAGGCACGGGAGCGAACCCCCCTGGCCTCGGCTAAGGAATTTTGACTGGTGGGCCACTTGGGCAGCGACATGGACTGACCTTCGTAGCCATAGCCCCCCCCCCATTTTCGATTTCTCCCCAGATTTCGGCCACTTTATTCTGCAAAAAACGTCAGGATGGCATTAAAAAAATGTAAAAAAACGGGGCTTGACCCCCCCCCCCCGACTCTTCAGAGAGAGAAGAGAGAGTAGGGACCCACAACCCTCTCAGTGGTGATACTCCGGCGGTGCACATAAAATCGCACAAGTATGCACAAAATATTGACGCAGATTATAAAACTTTGGACGATAACTTACGGCCGGTCGGATGTTAAAAATCAGCGAGCCCTGAATGGATCGCTCGCCGACTAGTCGGAGATTCGGAAGCGGTCGGACGGGATCGGGCGTTGTCGGGTGGATCGGGAGGCATTGTGAACAGCACAAGTGCAACTTTACATATAAAGTGGGTTGTAGCAGGAACCCCAAAAGGGGGTTGTAGCAGGAACCCCAAAAGGGGGTTGTGGCAGCAACCCCAACATCTCTGAAAATGATCATTAAGCCTATTGGTGTCGCATGGAAAAGAATTCACTCAAAAGCCCAAGCGCACTGCTCAACCCTAATATTTTCTTTAAAAAAAAACTAAGTTATGTACATTCCTGGTGAACAGTGTCCCAAACTTCAGATTTCTCTTGGGTGTCTGAGTGGAAAATTCTAGCCACCCAAAATGTGAGAGTGGAAAATTATCCATTCTTATTCTTGAGTGTCATCTTCAGCCCAAATGAGAAATTTTTGGAACGCTGACTGTGAACGGTTCGAAATTCGTCCAACTGGTCAGATGTGCGACTGCAAGCATCATACCGTTCGTGAAGACGCATAATATCGCTTGCAGACTTCCATCGGCTGGAAGTTGCCGACACTACCTCTAGTTTGACTCTGGCTTATATCTTGTCTATCGGCGAGCCGTCTGAGATCGCTCGCAGGCTTATCCCCGACCGTCTGAACTGGTCTGTTCTTTATTCGTAGTTTTTCTTGTAACCGACTGGTCTGCGGCAGATACTTGTGTGACTGTAACCACTCGATCGATCGGAAAGCTTGCAAGAACTCTCGCAGACCTCGATCGGCTGGAAGCCGCCGACACTATCTGTAATTGACAGAGGCAAACGTCTTTCACGATTATTGCATAAAATTTAAAGCCTCGGTCACACTTAAACGGATTGGACCAACGGACGAGAAACGGACGAGAACTGTCAGCGTCCGGTGATGTCCGTTTGTTTCCGTTGGACGTCCGTTTGTCATCCGTTAATATCCGTTCCATGTCCGGTGGTGTCCGGTTGAGCACACCGGACACCACCGGACATGGAACAGATATTAACGGATGAGAAACGGACGTCCAACGGAAACGAACGGACATCCCCTGGACATCACCGGACGCCGTCCGTTTCTCGTCCTTTGGTCCAATCCGGTGAAGTGTGACCGGGGCGGGCTTAACCCTCGCATGTGTAGGGGGGGGGGGGTCGGATGGACCCCCCATGGTTTTTCGCGAATAACTCGCGTAAAAAGCGGCCGATCGCGACGAAACTTTCAGTACCCTCGCATTGATCAATTTTACACCTACCCTGAAAATTTCATGACCCTGACCCAAATGACCTTTGACCTGTGACCTCTTTTCCGTGACCATGTTTGGCCGGAATCGCGATTCCGCGTATGTCGGCTCGCATTAGCCGCGCGTTTGCAAGCTTTTCGTGGTTTCAAACGTTCAAACATGTGATTTGATGCTGCTCCCATGCATTAGAGTGGGTGTCAAGGTCACCTGAAGGTCAGGTCAGGTCATTGACCTTTGGTGACCTCGGGTGACCTCGGTTTCACTTTTTCGAGTTTTACATGTTTCTAGGCTAGTTTTTGGAGCTGAATTCGAATTTAGCAACCATTTGAACATTTACGAAGTAGTTTTGGTGCCTTCGTAACATGTTACGAAGCTGTCAGAGGCGGTTGACACGTACTACGAATACCCGTCACGACGCCTACTGGTTGACCTGACCTGACCCGACCTGGTCTAAATGCTTAAAGACATCATCTGTGATCAAAACTAACACGATATTCGTGATCAGCACCCCGAAAAACCCCTTAGCAGCCATACTTTAACCCTCGCATGTGTAGGGGGGGGGGGTCGGATGGACCCCCCCCCCATGGTTTTTCGCGAATAACTCGCGTAAAAAGCGGCCGATCGCGACGAAACTTTCAGTACCCTCGCATTGATCAATTTTACACCTACCCTGAAAATTTCATGACCCTGACCCAAATGACCTTTGACCTGTGACCTCTTTTCCGAGACCATGTTTGGCCGGAATCGCGATTTCGCGTATGTCGGCTCGCACTAGCCGCGTGTTTGCAAGCTTTTCGTGGTTTCAAACGTTCAAACATGTGATTTGATGTTACTCCCGTGTGTGTCAAGGTCACCTGAAGGTCAGGTCGGGTCATTGACCTTTGGTGACCTCGGGTGACCTCGGGTCACTTTTTCGAGTTTTACATGTTTCTAGGCTAGTTTTTGGAGCTGAATTCGAATTTAGCAACCATTTGAACATTTACGAAGTAGTTTTGGTGACTTCGTAACATGTTACGAAGCTGTCAGAGGCGGTTGACACGTACTACGAATACCCGTCACGACGCCTACTGGTTGACCTGACCTGACCTGACCCGACCTGGTCTAAATGCTTCAAGACATCATCTGTGATCAAAACTAACACGATATTCGTGATCAGCACCCCGAAAAACCCCTTAGCAGCCACACTTTACGACTTTCTAACAGGTCCCGATTTTCCCGACTTTGGGTCATTGACCTGACCTGGAAGGTCAACCAATGACCTAGGACCTTAAAATTGGGTATCATCGGCTTCCTCTCGTCACGGGCAACACGCTCGTTTTTTCCGCGAAGCTCTAGCTCGATCAGGGGCCAAACGACAAGGGGGGGGGTCCAACCGACCCCCCCCCCTACACATTAGAAGCTGGCAAACGCCGCACACATGCGAGGGTTAAGACTTTCTAATAGGTCCCGATTTTCCCGACTTTGGGTCATTGACCTGACCTGGAAGGTCAACCAATGACCTAGGACCTTAAAATTGGGTATCATCGGCTTCCTCTCGTCACGGGCAACACGCTCGTTTTTTCCGCGAAGCTCTAGCTCGATCAGGGGCCAAACGGCAAGGGGGGTCCAACCGACCCCCCCCCCCCTACACATTAGAAGCTGGCAAACGCCGCACACATGCGAGGGTTAACCTACGGCTGTCTCAAGAAACCGGGAATGGTGATGGTATTAGGCGGGCAACGACGATCAAGTTCTTACTTTTAATAAATGCAACAATGTAGTAGGGCCTCTGTCTCTGTCTGTATCACAATGTTACCTATGTCGTGATGTAAAATGTGAAAACTTCGATTTTTCAGAAAATTACTGGTGGGCCAAATCTTTGAGGCTGGTGGGCCATTTCGGGTCACTGGTGGGCCATTTGGCCCACCAGTTAACATGTTAGCCGAGGCCCTGATATGTAAATATCTTTTTATCCATTTTGAAGAATGTATTTCAGACTTGTGTCATTTTTAAATAACAAAAAAGGAATTTAACAAAAAATTGTTGCTTACCACATTTCTCTGTAAAAGAACTTGAAAAAGTATACATGATTTGGCATTAACCGAAACAACTAACTATTTAGCAGCGGAAATCTACCTCCACTTTTGTCATATATGCGCCACTCACGCTTTCATTTGTTTGTATTTTGTAAACGGGAGATGATTGTGGTGTAGAAAGATCAAAAGAAATCAAAATTGAAATGGGCGTGATTATGATTAGGGGTGAGTAAAATCATAATTTAGTTATTTTCAATTCTAAGGTCATGGAAATCGATGCAGTGTTCACGCTTTCGACAATGAAACGTAGCCTGCCGTGTGGTGTCGTTTCAATTTCAATTTGACTACGTTTCCATGGCAATGTTATAAGTGAATCCTATTTTGAAAAATACATTTTCTTGATCATATCGTCTGGACATAATTCAAAACTTAAAGTATTGGATAATGTGATAGGTGGCTTCAACTGTAAATATGTTTATATTTTTAATTATTGCACAAGATGAACAGCAGGTATCTGATAAAACTCGCGTGAAATTTTGTGAAATCAATTTAGCCGTGTCATGGAAACATAGTGATTGTCCTATGCCCATCCAAGGCTATATAACCTGTTTCATCCCATGATGAAGGGGATCAAGATGGTAAGCAGCATGAAATGATGGCTTCCGTAGTGACTGCTACAGCCGATAATTGATGTTTTTTTAAATGCTGTTCCAGTTCTTTGTTTTTGATAAAAGGTGAGGCTCTTATTTGTGAATTTCATATAGGACGCCGGTGAAAACAGGGCGCCGGAGGGCATATTAGTCACATGACATTTGGAGCTTCTCCCCCTCCGTGCGGCCTTCTACATGCAAAACATCACGTGTGAATTTCACGAACCTTGATCAAATCGCCCCAGGCGCCCTGTTTTCACCGTCGTCCTTCATATAGCCTATGTCACCTATCAGTTAATTTATACCTGTGCCATTAATTCATCACTACTCACTGGGGTTTGTCTTCCCAAATCCCATGGTCTTGACTCTTTCTCACCTGGTTCTCTCACCTGGTAGCAGGTAGGGTCAGGGTTCTCCTTGCCTAGCAGCCACTCACTACTCACTGGTGACTGGGTTTTGTCTTCCCAAATCCCATGGTCTTGACTCTTTCTCACCTGGTTCTCTCAGCTGGTTGGGTTCTCCTTGCCTAGCAGCCATTAGGATATGGTAGCAGACATGATGGGAACCCATGATCAAAGGACAGGCCAGTTCACCAACAAACATTGCCTGTTATCTGTCACCATGGTTTAAGTGGATTTGAGAGTGAAATTCACATCTTAAAAGTTAAAGGTTTATCATTGACATTCGTTTTAAACATAGCCCAAACTAGTTCAAACATAACCTAAAAAATCAACTTAATCTTAACAAACATAACCTAACCTAGCATTATTCAACCTAATTTAGGATGTTTGCCTGTCACAAAAATTATGAAATCTATAAATACGTCCCTTATAAGCTTCCTTGTGATATTGCATTTACAAATAGAGACCAAAAACAGTGACAAACAACAGTACTGTTGACAACAAACCAGGCAGCCTTCAAGTGGGATTATGGCAAGATAGGGATTAGTTAGCTTGGGCTTGAGATCGTCGGTTAGATTAACCAGGTACCTATGACACATTCATAGGCGGGGACGGCACCGTGTCCGCTTTGATTTTGGCATTTTAACATTAGCCCTATGGGCTTTGCATGGAAAGAATGGGACCAAAAGTCGGCAGTGCCCCCCCCCCCCTAATTGAAGGTGTTCAGCTACTACTGGACACATTTTTCTAGCTAAACAGAAATTTCATTATAGAATGATATGTCTATATTATCTATATTTCTATTATGATCCCGTAGCCGGTCCCGTAGCTCAGTTGGTAGAGCGTTGGACTCCGCGTGGTGAGAGCACGCGTTCCCGGTTATAACAGTCCGGGTTCGAAGCGCGACGGGCGCTCGACATTTATGGGCCTCCTGACAGGTATGGCTGCGGTTGGTGGCAGGCCGTAGCCAGGCGAAGTCAGTGAGGGGACCGGCTGTGCGCGGCTATGTGCGCACGTTAAACTTTGGACTCTAAATTCTGCCATAGAACCGGAATTGCGCGATCGGAGGGTAGAGGGCAGGGTCACCGCAACAAGCTTCGCTTAGCGGTGGTTCTGTCCTTGTGAATCCTTCCTATCAAAAGGTTCGGACTAAATTTATTTAAAAAAATTACAGAATGATGTGTATATTATCTAAACCACAGTGTATATAAATAATCTATACTCCTTTTTGATATTTCAAGCAAGTTATGACTTCTGATGAAATCTAAATTTGATTTTATTGTGATTTTGCAACAAGTCTTGCTGACTCAATGCATCTTAAGGGATGAAATAATTTTGGATACTGACCACAAGTTTAAAAAGGTAGATACCTAACCTTACTGAAATAAATTGCAGTTGGTCCTGAATCCTGATTCTGTCAGTTATTTTGACTCAGAACAAATCCATAAACAATAAACATTCATAATTATATTTCCACGAACTATGTCGTGCTTACGCAGCACACACCAGAATGGATGTCCGAGCCGCCGCGGGTGCGCTAACTCCCCGCGGAGGAAATGGTCGTCGATCTTATCTCCGATCGCCCGATGACTCACGGTCTCTACAGGCGCTGAATTGTGCGAGGAAACTGGCAGTTATCCTCCTGAGTCAGTGCTCATAGCGATGGAGCTGATTTTTATTTTGCAGGTCATTCAGGCAGTAGGTAGATATGGCGAGGTAAACACCTTCAGGTGTTTTTTTCGGGATGCTTTTTCCAGGAGGTAGGTACCGCGTCGTGTTGGTAGAAATCTTGAATTAATTTTTTTGTTTTTATTTTTGCAGATCATGTAGACCAGTAGATACAGCGGCTGTGAAGTGGAAGACTTTGGTGACCGACGTAGCATCACAAGGGGCCATGTCGGCAGACCAGTTCAAAGGCCTGCTGAAACTCTCAGAGTCCAGTCGACTGGCGCTAGTGAAGAAAAGTAGAATACATGACGCCTATGATGTAGAACATTCGCCCTTTGCACGGTGAGTTATGAACGAAGTGAGGATCAGAGGGGAGTATTCAATGCACTTAAAGGGACTATCCCACCTTCTAAAATGTTGTTAAAACCAGTTAAATTGTGCTCGACTTTATAGATTGGATGACCAGGAACACGGTTCTGGCATTTATTTTTCATTAAACATCTTAGGCTTCCCATATTCCAAACACAAACTTTCAAATATGTGACGTCACAGCCCAAAATTACCTCCTTCCCCAGGCCACATTACTGTCATAAAGCTGATTCTTTTTACTCTGTAGGCACCACAACATAGTTCAGACCAAGTTTTAAGCGATTTTTCAACGAACAACCCCATTTAAATCAGAATGACTAAACGAGGTGACGTCACACTAACGGTCGCTCCATGTTGAAGATAGGGCCTTGTACAAGGCCCATTTTCAAATGAAGGGAACGAATTTCTTCAACACCAAGAGGCCGCGGGGGTTGCAAACTAGATAGATAGTGGTTTCTGAACCTCGCCGCAAACTTGGCTATCTCAACTCAAACCCCATGTTAAAGGTGGGATAGTCCCTTTAATTGTGTTATTCAAACACGCATAATATGCTGTTCGTGTTGCATGTGTGCGAGCCATTCATATGGATCCAAGTTCTATTTTCCTGGCTGATTTCCTGCTTACAATGTTTGGCAATTTTCCTTATGCCATTTCAGATACGGTAAATAAAACGTAATCCAAGCACTACATAGTTTCTCATTGATTCGTAAAGACTTACTCCATTTAAACTATCCATCTGGCGGAATACCAGAGCCTTCGATCACCGGTGTCCTGTCACTTTGATGTCCTGATGGGCGCAAAATGACCTTAGTAGTCGACGGCTGAGTTATTTACTCCCGAATTACTCGCGAATTTATTCCCGCAGGGGTAAATTCGCGGCCGTACGCCGCTCCACACACCGCGTCTCGGGCGTGGCGTTCGCGGCCAAATTCGTCCGCCGGCGCCGCCGAGCCTCAGAGGTGCTCCATGAGATACTGCACGAGGTGGCCATACTGGAGCTGGCCCGCGCCGCTGCCGGCCAGCCGGGCAGTGAGCGCATCGTCCGCCTGCACGAGGTGTTCGAGACGCCCACCGAGACGGCGATGGTGCTCGAAATGTGAGTGGAATGGAATGGTGGTGGGGAATAACAATGGAGATAATATTGGGGAAGGGAGCCGGAGCGAAAGGAGCTTACCCGTCCATATTTGCAGAATTGTTGAAAAGGACGGGTGTAAATTTAAGAACCATACATCCAGGCAAAACTTAGCACCGATCGGATAGAGTTAGCTTCGGCTTCGGTTGAGCCCACGTTTTACGATGAATGGCGACATGACTGACCGTCATGCTATTTAGTATTTACCCTGTGTGTTTAGGAAAAGTGCAGTACAATATCTTATCAGTGGCGCAGCCAGGGGGGGTGAAAGGGGTGAGATCTCACCCCCGTCTCTCATCCTAGGGGCCCACCGTCGATTCGAACTGTAACGTTATGCAGCCTGACAATTTTTTATCACTTATGTCAAGGTCCGTCATAGGACTGAAAAACAGTCTTCAGGCATGATAGCCCCCCCCCCCTTTAGGATTTTTAGTCCCATTTTATTATTTAAGGGGGTACATCCAAGGCCCGATTGAACTAATCCAAGGCCTAGGAGGGCCCGTTCCATGGCATGAGAGGGCCATTTCAGGCCTGAGTGGGCCCATTTCAGGTCTGTGAGGGCCCATTTCAGGCCTGAAGGGGCCCAGTTGAAGCTTGAGAGGGCCCATTTCAGGCCCTAGAGGGCCTGTTTGAGGCTTGAGAGGGGCCCATTTCAGGTCTAAGAGGGCCCATTTGATGCCTGTGAGGGCCCATTTCAGGCTTGAGGGGGTCCATTTCAGGCCCTAGAGGGCATGTTTGAGGCCTGATAGGGCCCATTTCAGGTCTCAGAGGGGCCATTTCAGGCCTGAGGGGGCCCATTTAAGCTTGAGAGGGCATGCCCTAGAGGGCCTGTTTGAGGCCAGAGAGGGCCCGTTTGAGGCCAGAGAGGGCCCGTTTGAGGCCTGAGAGGGGCCCATTTCAGGCATAAGAGGCACCATTTCAGACCTGAGAGGGCCCAGTTACGGTATGAGGGAGCCCTTTTTCGACATGATAGGGACCATTTCCGGGCTGAGGGGGCCCATTTCAGGTCAGAGAGGGCTAATGTCAGGCCTGAGAGGACCCATTTCAGGTCCTTGAGGTCCTATTTGAGGCCTGAGAGCCTGAGAGGGGCCCACTTCAGGTCTGAGAGGGCTAATGTTAGTCCTGAGAGGGCCCATTTCAGGCCCTAGAGGACCTAGTTGAGGTCTGAGAGGGTCCACTTCAGGCCTGAGAGGGGCCCATTTCAGGTCTGAGAGGGCCCAGTTCAGGCCTGAGAAGACTCATCCCAGGAATGAAAGGATCATCCTATCCTATGTGTGGGAGGGTCCACACCGGTCCACACCGGTCCATGATGGCTCCAAACTGACACCTGTGACCTGAGGCTCCTGCACCGGCTTTTGAGGGGCCCACCGACCTCTGATAGCCACCACGCAGGTCTCAAAAGACCATGTCGATTGTTGATATCTAAACCTCCAAGTCTTGGAAGGTCTGTGCTCTATGCAGATTCTTGATGGCTTTACGTGGGCTTGTAAACATCCCGAACTGGCTCTAGACTAGCTCGACAGCGCCCCGCAGAGCAGCGCCCCAGGTTTTCCAGTTTTACGCCCCTGAGGGGTGTTTGAATATTCCCTTCTAACCTGACTCCAGGGTCACGTAGCGACAAGTGCGGCGGTAGGCGGCTTTCTAAAGAGCGTCGAAAATCATGGAGAAATTACTTCAGTCATGTTGCAGTTCACACCAAAGCCCACGTCATCATGTTCATCGAAGGAGAAGTTTCGCCTATTTCGACACTCGAGGACATATATAAGCTAAAGCGCTGAAAGTGGGTTCGATAGCTCTCTAACGCGTGCAATCAGCCATGGGGGGGGGGGGCGTATCGGCCAAACCCGATCATAATTTAAGAAGGCTAGAAAGACGAGAAAAGCAACAGATAGCTGTAGGATGTTTCAGAATCGTAGAGCCAGAGGTCATTTTTCGATTATGTCATCGCTGAGGTCATTAAAGATGAAATTATGATGAAATTATGATAAACATAAAGACAAGATTACGACGAAAAAATTCATGTTTTTATATTTTCACAAATAATCGTGTAACTCGTGAACCAAAGAGCTAAGAGCTTCGCGAAACAACTCATTCGATAGGCCTTTCAAAACGCTTTCGCTTTTAAGATTTGACCTCAATGCCTCATGCCAATGGTTTGGCAACAGAGCAGAGGGCAAAACCATCTAAATAGTCGCATTTTACCAAAATAGTTTTGCTAAGAATTTTTGCAAGAACTTTGGTGAGAAAAAATATGAGACATTTACTTTGTCATCATTCTCTTGTTAACATGCATCGAATGTTAACCTATAATTTCACATAAAAAGTTCAACTTCTAAATGTGACCGCAGATCGTTAGGTTAGGTTAGGTTAGGTTAGGTTAGGTTAGGTTAGGTTAGGTTAGGTTAGGTTAGGTTAGGTTAGGTTAGGTTAGGTTATTGACAAGTTCATGATGGTCATCAACTGATCCGTATAGATGATTAACACCTTCAAGACAATTTCATTACTCTACCTCGTCTCCTATATCAAAAGTAATAGTCGAAAAACTGATGTTGAGCTCTTTTAAAAGCTTTTTGACCTAGCCCGACCATTTGAGTGGCCGCTGGCCATCAATTGCACGCTGTCCATCAAATATGAGCAGAATGGTCGTGTTTCTGTAAATATGCTGTTGTTTTTTACGTGCCTCTTCAGATCAAGAGATATTTGTCCTTTTCCCCGATTTGGCTGGTATGGTAATGATCAGGACAATGATCTGACCTTTCGTTGTTGGTAAGGGGCCCCATTAGGTTGAGGGGGGCCCACTTTGCTGGGGGGCCCATCACGAACGTCTCTCACCCCCGTCGCCAGAGTTCTGGCTGCGCCACTGTATCTTATGTCACATGTTCTTCCTTGTGAACTGTTGATAGTTACATCGCGTCATTTAGGTTACGAGGACGTTGCATGATGTTTGGTTCCGTATTTTAGGTACTGGTACGAGTTCTGTTCATATTAGATATCATCTGTGTATGTTTGTACGAACTCATATGACATTTTACATTAAGACATTAACATTAGCAGCTGCGTTCACGGTCATGCTTTGTAAAGTTGTCTGCCCCATTCCACCCGACGCACTGGCCCGCCGTTTGTTGACACCCGCTGGCCTTCCCTCCCCATCCTGCGTCTCCTCAGGGTTCCGGGCGGGGAGCTGCAGCGTCTCATTGACGCCGGTGAGACCATCTCTGAGCCAGAGGTGCGTCGGATGCTACGGCAAGTGCTGGAGGCTGTCTCCTTCCTGCACGACAGAAACATCGCCCACCTCGACCTCAAGGTAGGTGGTGGTGCCGGGGGGGGGGGGGGCTGACGGGACGGAGGGTGGGAGGAGGGAAGAGCGAGGGAGAAATGGGAGGAGCATGGCATGCGTGCGGAATGTTGTCGTGTGATCAGTCATCGGTTTACACTGGAAGGCACTTGTCACTCCATCGTCGGTAAATAGGCGCGAAACCGTATGCCATCAATTACTGATGCTATTTTTGGCTTGCTTCAGATGATGGTGCGTCTAAAACGCGATACATAATCTCTCATGACGCACTCTCTCGCTTCCTCGACCAGCTATTCTTACTGACCCCACACTGACCTCCCGCCTCACCCTCCCTGCCCGCAGCCTCAGAACATCCTTCTGACGGGCCCGTTCCCGGGCTGCGACGTCAAACTGTGCGACTTTGGCATCTCGCGACTGATCGAGCCTGGTGTGGAGGTCCGTGAGGTGCTCGGAACGCCCGACTACGTGGCTCCGGAGGTGCTGCAGTATGAGCCCATCAGCCTGAGGACCGATATGTGGTGAGAAGAGGGGAAGGAGGAGGACAGGGGAGCGGAGCGGAGCGAAGGGAGTGAGGGAGTGAAAAAGGGACGAACGGAGGGATGTTCTAATGGAAAGCTAGGTAGGGAGGGAGGCCTAGTGGAGAAGTTTGGGAAGGCGCAGAAAGATTGGTTGCGCCTTGGCGCCTTCTACTCGCGCTCACTTTGTATGATTCCCTGAAGCCCCTTCTCTGCTGCACGTCTGTTCCCTGTCGCTGGCCGCTCCCAGTCTGGTGCCCTTCCCATTTCTGACGCTGACCCCCCTCCCCCCTCTCGTCCAGGTCGGTGGGTGTGCTGGCGTACGTCCTTCTCTCGGGCCACTCGCCGTTCGGTGGCGACACCAAACAGGAGACGTTCTGTAACATCTCGCAGGGCCAGCTGGACTTCCCCGAGGAGCTGTTCGGGGACGTCTCCCAGCCGGCGCTGGACTTCATCTCGGCACTGCTGATCGTCGAGGCTAGGTGGGTGCGGCGCTCGGCCTGGAAACAGTTGGGGACTGGGGTATTCTGTAGCGCTTTGATTGCTTCACTTTCAATGTGATGCAACCCGTTAGATACTTGCTAATGTTAAATGCTGTTAGTAAATGGATTGAACTGTTTATATGATGTGACAGATGAGAAGTAAGTTGGATCGGCCTGGCTGTCGTTTTTACTGGAATAGCTCATATTCAATTGATTATATTACTGTAGATGTAGAAGGTAGCTGCTACTGTGAGCATTTTCGAATGCCATGTCTGGGCTGTGTTCAATTATACACAACAATTTTCATTTCTGTGTGTTCATTTTAACATCTTGTAGCGTTCTGACACTCGCTCTATTCTGTCGCCAGTGAACGTCTCTCGTCCCGAGCGAGCATGCAGCACCCGTGGCTCTCCCCTCTCTCCGGCACTCTGCCCGACGCAGACGTCCAGCAGGTCATCATCAAACGCTCCAGCTGCGAGAAGGACATCAACGGCTTCTCCAACAAGGTGCTGGTGCTGGACAAGAAGATGATGTGCTAGCGTCCTGGACCATAGTGTATCGAGAGGCGAGTCCCATCGCTCTCCCATGAGAGAGTGTGAGGGTGAGAGGGGTGTCGACGTATCGGTCACCCCCGTCTAGTCTGGAGAGTGGTGTCTGCTGTGGCGACGGCAGCCAGTTAGGGAGTGCCGGAGTGTCGGCGGACAGGGCAGTGTCCGGTGGCCGAGGTTATATTCTCCCTCCGCGGGGTGGGGAGGTGAGGGATGGCGGCGTCCAAGGGAGGTGGGTCGGGCACCTGATCGCCTGATACGGACACATAATATTTAGATCTGACACACTTATCGAACCGTTACCGAGCTGTGTCTCTCAACTGTTCCATTCCGTTTCACAAGGTCTGATATTCATCATCATTCAGTGTCGTCTTTTTTTGCGCCGTAGCTCACAGCTCTCATCCATCAGTTGTTCTTTCCATCCCATCCGGTTCCGTGACCCTACCCCCGCCAGTCCCATGACCTCTTCACGTGCCGCGCCCGGCAGCGGCGCCGGAACCATGGACGTTCGTCCGCTCCGGGACGCGGTGGCCCCCCGGCCTGTCCCCGTCCTGGGCCGTCCTAGCTCGGAGTCGCCGTATCGCTCCCCATCTGCCTCTGTCTTGAGTGAGATGGAGTCGCAGTGAAGGCGGGATGCCATGGCTCGGTAAGCTGGAGTCTATGCGCGAGAGACGCGCGTAATATCTGCAGTGTGTTATTTATTTGTCGCGCATGATGACCGGTCGACAAGTGGGAACAATTAGTCAGGTGGGGTTTCCATGTCCGGTGACCCAGAGGGGCTTCCTAGCTGTATGAAACGGGACGGGAGGGGCTCAGAGAAGATTCTGTCGCGTTTTATGTTTTTGCCATTCGGTGTACAAATGCTTTGTAGCGTTATTACTTTACTGTATGATCTGACGTCATCAGATCTGTTGACGTCATAGATCTGTCAAGATATAGCGGGAATCAATCAGCGGCTTGGAGCTGGATCGAGCCCAGTGCTGCCTAGTGTCCATTCAGTCCGGCGAGTACGAGTCATAGATAATATCGGAAGGTGGAAGCGAGGGGTCGGTTCGCTCCTCTATCGCCCCGGCCGCGGCGTGCTCTGATCCCCTCGGCAATCCACGGCCCCGCCGCTCGTGTGGGGAGTGTGGGTGCTCCCTGCCACGAGCCGCGAGCGAGTCGCTTTCCGTTCACGGAGAGCGTTGGTTTAACGAGATGGTTTATATTGTACAGACTACTGAGAGATTTGAGATTACCGCGCTCCCCGCCCAATGCTCAGCGGTCAGGGCGTTTGTATGCGTGTGTGTTCTGTGCGCGTCGTTATGAAGTGAATAGGTGGCATGTAACTCCATACCTTACCGCAGTGCGAGTGATTGAGTGAGTGTATCTATTGTATATATGCCGACCTCGGACAGCACGCCGTCAGGGGAAGTTGATGCGATAAACTGCTGCGTGCCTGCGTTGGCCGCTGTGGCCAGGTTCTTGTTGCGCCTTGTCTCGCGTGATTCGCATTCCATGTGAAGAAGTAGGACCAACACAGCTGTGTATCCAGCCTTGACGCTGTTTTCTACCCTTTTCTAATCAATTGCGGTTAATACATTAGACAGGCTGTATGATTCTGTTTTGGACACACTATAATAATGCTTAGCGTCAACTTCAGTGAATCGGGGTGGAGAGGACTTAATTGAAATGCGAGCGTGGTACAGTTAGAAGTTAGGCTTATTTGAAAAGGTCTTCATTTAAGTCTTGCATCACTAAGAAAGAAAAAAAACTTGAGATAAAGTCCCCCAGCGCCATGTGACCAAGATTCTTACAGATACATGTGACATCCTGGATGAGGGGTTTCGAAATGTTACATTTCCGTGTTGTGTGAATATTTCACTGCCTGTCGCGAATGGAGGTGCCGTTATATAGCACGTTTTCTACAACGTGAGATTTGGCTGAAAATGATGCATGAAATCAAGGCCCTAAAACAGGCCCTAAAGCATGAAATCGTCTATGCATTTGAGACCCGTCAACTTTAATTGTTATTTTGGTGTTGTTAAATGCATAACTATTTACTGCGTTTCACTCCATAAGTGATATCCGTGAAATCATTTTGCGAATAACGAAAACTGCTGTTTCGAGCAACGATCCAAGAGTTCCCTAGTCTCCAAGAGTGAATAGCCTTCTTGAAGCCAGATATGGACAGTAAGTATTCAGTATTTTATGCTTACCTACTCTTTTTACCTTGTAAAACAAATCAGTACATCGTTATTAGTTATAATGCAATCATGACTGTATCGCAATGCTTACAGTTAATCGTTTTCAGCCGTTGTTAATGACACAAATCGATTGCCAACCCAAATTCATGCTTGAAACGGGGGTGGGGAGGAGGTCTGGAAGTCAACTTATCAACAAGCTTTGATACTTGCAGAAGTATGGGTTTAGTGGCGCCAGATGTGTACCAGTGTATCCATACGCATAACAGCACGATGTGCAGAAATCCAGACTCTGAAGACATGCGGATCCAGAGGCCACTTTCTTCGTAGACCCGAGTTCTGGCGTGGAGGAGTTATTCGTCTTTCTCGGAGACGTTTTGGAGACTGACCACGGTCGGATCTCGGCTCTCCGCAGATGCGATCTACCACTTCATGGACTGCGACGGCAGCAAAGACGGACCGCCGCAGCCCTACCCGGACCTCTCTCAGATAGCCGACTTTTCCACCGCTGCCGAGGCAGCGCCGCAAGACGAACCGGCCCAGCCGCGCGTGCGAAAATTCTACCCGGGCGTACTCGATTCCAAGTACATGCAGGCGGTGGTGCGCGGCGGCCGAGAGGGCCTGCTCCAGTTCCGGGAGAACCCGCAGCGCAGCCACCCGGTGCCGTACCCGTGGCCAGAGTGGTTTGATCACGAGACTGGTTCTCCGGCAGGTAAGAAGCGTCACGGCCAGCGCGGCTACCCGGAGGGCTGCACCAGCCAGCGGCCGGCCGCCGTGCCGGGCTGCGGCGGCTCCGTCAGCGGCGGAGGCGGAGGAAACCGGCCCGTGCCGTCCATGTACGACCCGCCTCCGTGCGCGGCCGCCGTCGCCGCCGCCAACGCAGCAGCCTCGGCCGCCGCGGCGCAGCACTGCCAGCCGGTGGTGGTGGCCTGTCCGATACCGGCACAGCAAGCGCAGCCGCACCACCAGCAGCACCAGCATCAGCCACAGCAGCCGCCACCGTTCGTGCGCGCCGCCAACACGGAACACTGCATTCCGTGCAGCGCGGCGCCCGAGGTGTGGGCCGACCCTAGTGACCCGCGAGCCGACTGCACCCCGCACCGTCCGCCGCCGCCGCAGCACCACGCGCCGCACCAGCAGCGGCCCCGGCCGCAGCCTGCCAGTACCGACAGAAACTTCGTGCCCTCCTACCTGCACGTAAGTCAGAGCGAATGGTTCAGTAAGGCACACTTGACGTGTGGAAGTTGATATCTTGAACTCCTTAGACGCACTCTAAATTAAGCCTAGGGAATAAACAGCTTTTGCGATTCTTCTAAAAAAGAGTTCACCTTACCCGCTGTAGCATCAAGGTGTGATGTGCATGAGGCACAATGCCCGTCATGTCGTTATTCAAAACCAACTCCTTCACTCTCAGGAGCCGGAGAACATGGCGAAGATAATCGCTCACGACTACCAGCGTCAGTGGGTGGACGAGCGGGACTCGTGGGAGGAATCGCACGCCACCTCCAACGACAACCAGCGCATGCGCATGCAGAACCGCTGCAGCCACCAGGAGCGCAAGTAGGTACGGCCACTGCTCGAGGTGACGATTCTGACAGAGAGTACCATCGTGGTTCATGGGCTCAGGAACCTGTACGGACCCTAGGGCGTCCACGGGTTCCTGAAGATTGCGGGTTAGCGGACCCCCATTTTTGTTTTCCAATTCTGGGCCAGTCGTGCCTGAAGCGCCTGAGTTTCTGTTCCAGGTTTGTGGAGCACCAAAAATGCGCCCGTGACACGAAGGCGAAGGTGGCCGAGGGTCAGCTTCCGGACTGCCGGAAAAAGTAAGTCTGGACCTCTGGTTTTGTTCTACACGATACACGTTATGATATGAACGATTGAACGAGTAGCTCCCCACAGACATTAAGGTTCGAAATTCAAATTAAAACCAAGTGAAGGAAGCATATTGCATGGTTATTGAGAAATGCAGTTAAAAATGCCGTTCATTTCTATTCCTAATGCATCCAACCACATCACCAAAATTCAATAACCTGAAATATTCATCTCAGTAGTCAACCTCTCCCAATGTCTTCCCACCGCTCAACTCCGACTCGTCTCGCTGTGTCCCTCAGATCGACCACGAGGCGGCCGTGGTACCCTCCCGGGAAAGTGTGCGTCGTGCGCAGACGCTGCGGCTGCTGACAGGGACACGGCGGTCCACAGCGAAACTTCAGCCGACAAATCCACAGTGACGTTTCTCAGTGAGCCATAGAGTCAGGAGTAAATTCATGTGGCGTCAAGTGCGTAATACATCTGGACCAGAAAACATGCGGAAATATAATGTAAGAAAACTAACCTAGATGACGGTGCTTGCAACGAGCCTGTGCTCGAACATTATCGTCAGAATTCCACCATAACACCAGCGTCACATCCAATGAAAGCCTGTATTTTGTAACTAACGCACGGCGCCATCATAGAAGTGGTACACGCCTCTCGAATATTGAACACGGACGGCGGTAGCGCAACGCGTCGTGCAATAGACAATCTATGCGCCTAGCCTTTGGAAACAGACGATTTCAACCGTAACAAGCCCCGTTAGCGCGACGCCTCGTCAGCACTAATCTCTATCCATCGCGCTCGATGAGGCTATCCGAAATTTCTAGGACAGGTGCACAGTGCACCTGTGTCTGTTCCTCACAGTCCTGAGTGGTGTCACATTCAGTAGAGAGCTGACCAGCCGAGCGTATTTACACACTAAATGGTTTGGCGGAATATCACAATGCCCTCGCATGCAGTTGACCTAGGGCTACATAAAAATAGAAATGTGGTCATTTAGCAAGTCTACTCTGCGTCCTGCAAAAATATATAGCGTATACAATTCTGAAAAGCATTTGTCTCGACATCGCTTAAAATCAAATCGCATCCACCCTAGTGGTGAACATGCATACAGTGTTGTATAACAATATGTAAAATACTTCTTCGTAAGCCGCAAGCGTATCCCGTACAAAATGGCACTCACTGCGAGACTCACGATAAAACATTCAATCAAGCGATGCAGAATCAAACATACATGATTGCAGGAAGCACGCGAATACATAGAAGAGAGCACCGTCTCTTATATTGCGTCTCCTGACGCGGCTACGCTCGTCATCCAGGTAACTGCGCTGAGTATATAATACCAGTCCGGCCACACGCTTCTGCCTGAGCGAAGTCCAGTAGCCGCACAGATCGGGGGCAAGGATGACGGCATCATGGTTTCGCCACACAGGCGCGCGCTTGGTCATTGCGCCGGCTCTGCGAGCCTGTCACTATGTCCTGCCGGCTCCGCAGAAACGATGAGCAAGTGCAAAAATCCGGAGACACCAGTGCAATACAGCATGTCATAATTTGACGCTCAGTGCCAAGGACGTGCCCTAAAGTCATGATTTACTGTTCAGTCCCTGGAAAACTACGCCGCTACGTGTCTGAAAACACATAAAGCGTCTGTAGAGTCTACAGACCGTCTAAAAACCTCAGCCGTCTTTGAAAGCCCACCCTGATCTCTGGAAGCCGCGGTTTGTCTCCACAGTTCGTCCGGGCTCTCAGGAGCGGCTGTCAGCAGCGGCCGACCGTCGCGGGCTGGTCGGTACGTCGTACAACTCGCTCTCCTCCTGAGACAGAACGCTGATCGCTGGACTCAGCATGGGGCTCGTCGGCACATCGTATGTATCCGAGCCGCCGCAGCTACCGAGCAGAGAGTACGGGGAGAGTGGCGGAGGAGCGCTCTCCTGCTCTCTCTCCGATGGCGGCGCGGCTGGCTCCTCCGGGCGGCTAGGGGTGGTGATGTTCTCCATAGAGCCCGGCGGCCCGGGCTCCTCCGGGGTTGGGATGGAGACGGCCGACAGGGCGGCGGCCAGGACCGCCGGCGGCGCCGAGTCCGAGCGCAGCCTCTGTAGGTTGTGCGAGCGCGGAGAGTCGTACAGCAGGTCATCGTGCAGGGTTGGCCGGCGGCGTACCATCAGCGCCGGCTTCGGAGGCACCGGCGGACGCTCGCCACGAGCCTTAGGAGGCGCCGAGCTTGCCGCCGAGAGAACATCGTACACGTCTGTTGGCTCAGTAGCCGGTGATTCAAACGGCGGAACCGTTGGCGGTCGGCTATCCGGCGGCGACGATTCAGAAGGGTTTGGCGTTACGTCGACCAACACTGACGACGGGGTGATGGGATTAGGTTTCGTCGCGGGGGTCTGGGAATCCGGAGAAGTTGAGGTCTTTGGCAGAAACACTGACATCAGTGGTTTACGCGGCAGATGAGGCGGGATGGAAGGTTTCGGTGAGGTAATCGACGACGAAGTGTTGGGCGCAGTGGAGACTTCCCACGGCGGGGCGGCAGCACTCGCCGCGGTCTGAGGCAGCGCGCTGGGTCTCGGTGGGGTTCCACACTTCTCTGCGACCGGTGCTGGAGCCGCGGCGGCCGAGGGCGGAGCGGTGACCGGCAGCGGCGGCGGGGAGGGCGCCGGTGACACCGGCGGGGTGACGGCCAGCAGCTCCTCTGCTGCGGCCGCCGCCACTGTCTCGGCAGCCACGGCCACGTCGACGGGGAGCCCGTTCACCACCGTGTCGCGGTGGGAGGGCAGCTGGTTGGCTTCGGCCGTCAGCGAGACACACTGGAGGGAGCGGGGCGGGTGGGAGATGAGCGACAGCCGGACACGGCGAGAATAGTCGGTCCGTCCCCACACCCAGTGAATAGTTATAAACCACACACATTGCCCCGTTTCTACTTGCGCAAGCATATAACGTGGTAAACCAACCAAATGCATGCCAAGGAGACGTTAAATATTACGACTGCGTGTAGCGCATCGTGTAATGAAAACTTCTGATACACACGCGCAGCATCACACCCCTCCCCCATGAAATAACATCTGGGAAAACAAGGAAAGGGACCCCATCAACTTCAACTCACCTGCGGTACGCCGAGCTCGGAGAGGTTTCGGTACTCGTTATCGGCGCTGAAGAACTGGTGCAGGATGCTGAAGCTGGGCCGCTCATGAGGTTCGTACGCCCAGCACTTCAGCATTACCTCGTAAATGCCGCCCGGGCAGTACTCGGGCTTCTGCAGTCGGTGGCCCTTCTCAACCACGTTCACAAAGGCCTGCCGTACGGAACCGGGGACAAGTTAGACGTTAGCGGGGGGGGGGGGGGGGAGTTTAATCGGTGTTCGCTCGTACCAGAAGCTATTGGATGGAATACGACTGAGAAAGATAAAAATGCAACGCTGACACGGGTCACCCCGATAACCGACTCAGATTCTCACGTGAAAAAAGACAATATTCACAGCTCCGCCTCATACTAAACGAACATCAACCGAGCCATCGAGTGATTGACGGACGGTATAGGCAACCCCCTATTAGGTAAATGCACATTTCACATATCAATTACGGCTAAATTTCTTCAGATCCACCCATGAATCTTAAATAGCCCAGAATAGTCGAGTGGCTCGCACAGACTAGCTGGTGAGTATCTTACATCCACTCCTGGCATGTCTCCGTACGGCTGCTCTCCGTAGGAGAACATCTCCCAGAGCAGCACTCCGAAACTCCAGACGTCGCTGGCGGCCGTGAATCGACCAAAGTTCATCGCCTCGGGCGCGTACCTGACGGCAGGGATCACCGGAGGGGCTAATAGCTGTAGCGGGGATGGCTGGTAGTCAACACACGCGACGGCAGCAAGGTGCTCACAAAGGAGAGTTACATGGTGCAGTCGTTCACATACTGAAATGGAGGATGAAAATACCACATTCCACATAATTTGCAAATTGTCTCAATCGCAGTATCTATTAAAACTTTTCATGTTTGAGTTTAATATTTGCAGTTCATTCGTACGCCTTTCCAAATGCACATTTCATGACTTCGTGCTTTTCATTTCAACAACCGATCAATACAACCATTCGACAACATTATATCTCACTAACCATTTGACGGGCCACCTGCCACCCTCGGAGGCCACGTAGTAGTCCCGGTCGCCCAGGGGCCGACTGAAGCCGAAGTCACTGATCTTCACCTGCGAGTGAGACGCCACCAGAATGTTGCGCGCCGCCAGGTCCCGGTGCACCATTCGCTGCTTCTCCAGGTACTCCATTCCTGACGGAGCACATCGAAACAAGTTGGAAACCTTGGAATAGGGTACAGGGCTGAGGGCGAACCAATCGATGTGTTCAGCTGTTTGGAACACCAGCTATCCGTGCAAACATGGGAATATGACACAGAAAACGAAACATTATCCATCGCATCTATTATATCTGATAGGTGACCAACAGCTTTACTTTGACGTGATGCACCTCATATTTTACGAGTCAGCAGCATTTATGAAACACGGTTAGTGAGCAAAATAAATAAACATAATACACACACATATCTGAGGACAAATACATGAGGAACAATCGGGATCCAGTACGGTACGGTAGCTCGCACTTCCTGCCAGACGTGGGATCGGACCGCTGCCGAAGCCGTGCCGAGCGAACCACCGAGCACCCGTCAGCACCCACCTTCTGCCACCTGGCCGGCCCACAGCTTGAAGTCGTCGTCCATCGAGACGTCGTGCGGCTGCTGCTTGAGGTAGTCCAGTAGAGAGCCCAGAGCCACCAGCTCCTGAACCTGCCGCCCGGCCGTCAGTACACGCAGCCATATGACGAGCTTTCCTCGGATCACTTAATTATCATGATCATTCGACACTTGATCATCAACTCCAGTTTCGATTCGTCTTCATAAAACATACGCACAAATTAACAACGACCAGGTTTTAGCTCAAAATCTTTACAGAGATTCTCTGTGCGCTATCGACTCAAAATTCAAACATACTGCATGGAACCAAAAGCACGCTAACCACGTACCAGCATCAGCGGCTCATGCTCTAGCATGCCCAGGAATCGGACGATACACCGATGACGGAGGTCCTTCAGACAGGACGCCTCCCTCAGCAGTTCGGTGCGGTCCATCCCATGGGATGTCTTGATGGCCACATCCACCTGAAAACAAATTGAGAGACCGTGGTTAGATATTGGAGGAAGTGAGAGTCCGTGGTTAGATATTGGAGAAAGTGAGAGGCAGTGGTTAGATATTGGAGTAACTGAGAGGCCGTGGTTAGATATTGGAGGACGTGAGAGGCCGCGGTTACATATTGGAGTAACTGAGAGGCCGTGGTTAGATATTGGAGTAACGGAGAGGCCGTGGTCAGATATTTGAGGAATCGAGAGGCCGTGGTTAGATATTGAAGGAATTGAGAGGCAGTGGTTGGATATTGGAGGAATTGAGAGGACGTGGTCACTGGTTAGATATTGGAGGAATTCAGAGT